TATTAGAACACAATAATTAGAATTAAATGACTCTCTGGATTTGCCTTTTAAAAATTAATTATGCCATTAAGCACTAAATGCAAGGATTAAAATTTCACAAATTTCTAGTTAAGTCAAAATGTGGTGAAAACTACTGGCATTTGACCAAATACTAAAAGAATCTCAGCTGTTTTAGAAATAAAACATTTGCTTCCTACTTGAAGCCAAACTTATTAGTCTATGATTGAACTATCTGCAAATGTAGCCTAAGAAAAACAGGTAGTGGACGCTTTTTATGAGATAAACAAAATGCTAAAAATTGACTTTCAAAAATCAAGATTTTAAACTTAAGACAAAATAAGTCACTATTCATTCCTAAAAATTAAAAAATGCACATTTCCAAGAGTATTTTAGGAACACAGACATCTACCATTACTAGATGAAAATTTTTTACGTGGTCATATGCAAATATCAGAAAATAATATCACAACTATTTAGCAGGATTTAGTCGAGTGCCTTCTCTGATGAAGATGAATGCATTGTATTCTTTTTCTCCTTACAATGGGGGAATCTCAGCTTTCTATATTTTCTAAAATAATGAAATTAACATAACCTTTGAAAACACACTTTGGATATTTGCATTTCACCAACTTGCTTGCTTATTTCAAAAAGGACAATTTGTAAAACTGCCTGTATTTTTAAAAATCAATTTTATTTTAGGTACAAAATGTACGTTTTAGGTATACAATGTAATGACATTCATCATTGGAAATTTGTACCTTTTCGTAATGTATCTCGGTTCTTATTTTTTTCCTATTTCCCTGCCCTCCCTTCAACCCCTCTATCCCTTCCTATTTACAAAGACTTTGTTTACATTTTTTCCTTTTCTCATATTAATTCCATTTCCTTCTTTCCTTTCCCCTACCCCTCCCTCTTCCCCTTCCCCTTTGCCCCTTTTTTTTTCCTATTTCACCTTATCTATTATACCTTTTAGTCCTTATTTACACTTTCAGTTTCTCACACCAGAGAAGCTATTTGATATTTATACATGTTTGTCCTATTTATTTCATTTAAGAGTATCACCTCAATGTGCATCAATTTAGCTAGAAATGTCTCTAATTTCTCATTTTTTTTGGCTGAGTAGTACTCCATTCTATTAAAAAACCCACATTTTCTTTATCCAGTCTCCAGTCGATGGGCACTTGGGCTGTTTCCAAGTTTTAGATATTACAAACTGTGCTGCTATAAACATGGGTGCACATATATCGCTCTGGTATGATTCTTTTAATTCTTTTGAGAAGATACCCAGTAGGGTAATAGCTGGGTCAAATGGGACCTCTAATCCTAGTTCTCTGAGGTATCTCCATGATCTTTCATAATAGCAGCCATTCTTTCTGGGGTGAGGTGGAATCTCAGCGTTGTTTTCATTTGCATCTCTCGAATGACCAGTGATGTTGAACACTTTTTCATACATTTATTTGCTACTTCTACTTCTTTGTCTGAGAAATGTCTGTTCATTTCAGATGCCCATTTTGAATTGGGTCTTTAAATTTGGGAGGTCTGATTTTTTAAAGTTCTTTATGTATTCTAGATAGTAGACCTTTGACTGAGGAACAGCTGGTAAAAGTTTTTTCTCACATCGTGGGTTGTCTCTTCACGCTGTTGGTGGTTAATCTTTTTTATTTTTTATTTTTGGTACCAGGGATTGAACTTGGGACCTTGCGCTTGCGAGGCAGGAGGCGGAACCACTGAGCTAAATCCCCGACCCACAGAAGCTTTTTAATAAGAAACCCCACTTGTTGAATCTTTGTACCCCACTTGTTGAATCTTTCATATGCAACTGAGGTTTTGTTCATGAAATCTTTTCCTACGCCAATGTCTTAAAGAGTTCTACCTAACCTCTCTTCCAGCTGGTTTAGATATTGTTTTGTTTGTTTGTTTGGTACCAGAGATCAAACTCAGGTCTTTGCGTTTGCGCAGCAGGTGGGGAAACCACTGAGCTAAATCCCTGGCCCGAGATTCTGTTTTAATATTTAAACCTTTAATCCATTTTTATTTTAGTTTAGTGCATGAAAATCTCTTGTGTTTTTATTAGTCATTATTTCTTTATCAGCCAATGTAAAAGACTAACAGTAAACATCAATGCAGTAGAAACTGTATCAGATTAGAAATCAAGATATTCCTTCATCTCTTCTTTGGGTTTTTTGGTGGCACGGTACTAAGGACTGGACTCTGAGCCTTCACACTCATCTACACCCCTGGCACTTTTCATTCTGAGACACAGTCTCACTAAGTTGCTAAGTTGCCCAGGCTGGGTTGGAACTCAGGATCCTCCAGCCTCAGCCTCTCAGGGTGCTGGGAGTATAGGCGAGTGTCACCATGTCTGGGTTTTCTTTCCTTCATTAAACTTCTATTATTTTAGTGCCAGACACTGGACGCTAAAAAAATAAAATTAATCCTCAAAGAAACATAATACTGTTTCTTCATCAAATTTAAGATGTCATCAATTGTAACTTTTTTTTTGGTACCAGGGATCGAATTCTGGACCTTGTGCTTGCGAGGCAGGTGACGGAACCACTGAGCTAAAGCCCTGGCTCCATAAGACAAACTTTTAACAAAAAAGGAAAAATGCTCTTATTTCTGACCTAGTACTCTAAATGAATCATACCAGCCACTCACTGCTTTGATTTTTTCCAATCTATTTGGGAAAATTTGGCAATTCTTCCTGTCTTCACTGCATGGCTTGACACTCTAAGTGGCAATTTTTTCTTACACATCTTGGCACAAAACAAAACTTCATCCACTTTAGGGTATCTTCCTTTCTTGGCTCCTACAAAGCACTTTGTGGTCACTTTTAAAGAAAAGGTAATGTATGATTAATAACAAATGTTATATCACTAATGCCAAATTTATATCTATTTCAGTTCTGTCCTTTTCTATATTCAATAGTTTTTTACTTCTATTCTAAGTCATACTGAAATCTTTTTGAAAATGTTTTAAACAGTAATTCAAAGTAACATACGTAGTGCTGACACCATGTCCGTAACTCAATTGAAATGACGCTGAATACAGCTTTAACTAACCCTGCACGTGTGCAGGCAATGATAACCTGATGGGACGGCCACCTGACTGACAGTGACTGGAAGACACCAATGACATTCACATACATTCCAATTTCAAAGATACAAAAGCGTGAAAAACTAGCACGTCTTAGAATCACAGCAACAATACTAGCAAACACTTAGGTAGTACTATGAGGTAAGCACCATTCTATGTACTTAGCATATATTAGCTCATGAAAGCCTAGAAGGTAGTTAGATTACATGCTTCTACATAAGGAAACTGAGGCAAGGTGGATACAGTAACTTGCACAACATCCCAAAGCTGGTGTGCAGCCAGGTTCGCTTCTAAACCCAGCGGCATAAGTCCAGAAGTTGTATGTTTTTAGCCATCATGCCATACTGCCTTTCAAGTAAAGAATCAGTAGCTAGCTTTGTGATCTGAAGCAAATCATAAGAAAAGGGACTCCACTCCTTATTTGGAAAAGAAGGCAGGGGGGAGTTAAAAGAACTAAGATGCGTTATGCGCACATAGCAGCTCCTCACAATGAATGCAATCATTAAGTACTACAAACATGCACAAACAAAGTTTTTAAAAGGAACTGGGCCTGTCAGAGGAGGTGGGGCTTGACCTGGAGGATGTAGTTCTCTTCCTGACTCCTCCCTTCTCTCTCTGCTTCCTAACCAGCCTGACATGAGCAGTTCTCCTCCCACCATGCCATTTCTCCCTTGAAGCTACCAGCCAGGGCCTGTAAACATGTATCAAAAAAAACTTTTCCCTTGCCTCCTTCCCCTGGAAAAAAAAAGTTCTTTCCCAGAATCAGAATATTATAATTCTATAATCTTCCACTGCTGGAACTTCAGTCTTATGCTAGTTTCTCCTCTGGCCAATGAATTTCAAAAGATCTTCACTGCTATTAACTTATTAATGAAAAAAACGTAATTTTCACTACTAGTCTAAAATAGTACATAATCTGGGCATGGTGGTGTATGCCTGTAATCCTAGCACTTGTGAGGCTGAGGCAGGAGGATCACTGTGATTTCAAGGCCAGCCTGCGCTACATAGTGAGTTCAAAGCCAGCCTGGACTACATAGCGAGAAAAATAAAATAGACATATGTAGGAAGGCCTTTAAGAAAATACCTACTTGAACCACTACTTCTTGTCTTTACAGTGATGGCAAAAGGTTATCATAGACATAAATGACCCAATTTGTGGGTTTTACTCTGCTATGTACTTGGTCATGTAAAATTTTAGTTCAAACTTAACACAATTTCAATGCGTCATTTTTTTAATGCTACTCACAATGCAAAGCCCCTATTCTTACAATTCTGTTCATGTATGAAGGGAAAACACAACAGATTAATAACAGATGAAAATACTGCAACATTCTCCCCCAGGACTCAATTTAAGGGTGGAACTAATGTGCATCTCACACTGATAACTCTTCTGCCCCAAGAGAGATCCACTCATTGGATTTTCTACAGGCTGAGCCAGCTGCTCTCCTTAACCTCCCTTAAGAACACAGCCTCTAAACATCAGGCAACCCAGTAATAATTAAAATAATTCCTAATACTTCACTTTGAACCACAGGAGAAAAGTCAGTAAGGGAAAGGGACTAAAATGCACAATGTCTTCAAGGTTTTCATTACTCTTATTTACTGTCAAATACCGTATCAATTTCAGTCTGTTTAAAACAATCTGCCCCAGAGCCGGGGATTCAGCTCAGTGGTTCCGCTGCCTGCCTCGAAAGCGCAAGGATCTGAGTTCGATCCCCAGTACCAAAAAAAAAAAAATGATCTGTCCCAATAAAATAAAGAGAAACATTAAAAAGTTTTCCAGAAACAAAGCAAAAGAAGGAATATAAGTGAATGCTGGCAAAAGTGGGCTTAAAAAGCAGAAAAAGGGAGATGTTCAAAGGAAGTGAGCTCTCACCAGGACCCAAGACTTTCCTATTACATACCTTCCCATGCTGCCCAGCCCTTTCGTAACAAATGACCACATCTTCCCACATTTCCAGCTTCTCAAATATCTGAAGGGCCGAACTGGTACACCCCAACTCAAACAGCAAACTTGCAAGTTGGCGCTAAAAAAATCAAGTTAGAATAATTAATACTTCTTGATGTAAAGAGAGATTTCTGTTTCACTTGCAACAAGTATCCTCAATCAGCTTTTTTTTTTTTTTTTGAGGCACACTATTGCTATGTAGTCTAGGCTGGCCTTGAGATCACAGGTCTCAAACTCCTGAGAGTAGGATTCCAGGCATGAGCCATCACACCCAGCCCAGTGGTTTTAAGAGCTGCACATGTAATAGATGTATAATTTTTGTAATTCAACCTTTACTAATTAGGAATCTATGATGATCAAATATTTACATTTAATTTAGCAAGCCTCTTTATAGGGGATGAAGACTTGAAAAACAATTTAGAAGCTATTCTGTGTACAGCTCTGTGATCAACACTAACTGTACTGGGCCTCAATTTTCTTCTCATAAAATTAAAAAACTATACCAGCTATGTAAGTAATCTTCAGTATTAAATTCTATGAAATAGGAGAACCATATAATTCTACGAGAGGACACAGGGACAGGAGGACAGCCAACATGGGGCTTTCGCAGCTATACTAGGATTCCTCACAGCCTCAGAAAGAGTAGACATATCTCACATCCTAAAGCATCAAATAAATACTTTCTTGTAATTTTTGAGACCAACTTAGTTTAAAGATTTGTTCTTTGGTAGAAAGTCCTTAAAAGACTTAAATATAAAAAGTTACTTTGAAAATGAAAGCACTTTTGAGTTCTCCTATGATTTCATTCTAGGAGTCTACCTAACACTGTATAGTTCTAAATCTTTTTGAAAATATGTTAAAACTCTAATATCACTTAAATCAAAACAGTAGTTTAAGGTAATCAGCAATCCCCAGTTAGACATTTTTACTATTTTCACAGAAATATCTGAAAATTCAAACATAAGTTGAAATTATTTTTTTCTAATGTATTAACCTTTCTACTGCCAAATACAGTATTTTCCACACCAAAAGACAAAAGTACCTGGATAGCCCAGTGAGGTGGTACTTGACAGCAGTAGAAAATCTTCAGACGTTCCAACACAGACGTAGTTTTATCCTCAAATTGGTCTGCAAGAGCCTAAAAACCACATATAATAATCAGAATCTACAGATGAAATGACATTTTAATATGAATAAAATTCCTATTGCCAAAGTTACACGAAGATATATATATAAACAATAAAGAGCTCATCACTCTGACAGGTTGATGAGGTGTGAATTGTCTGAGTTTCTTTAAATGTTTAAAAGACTTTAATCAATATTTACATAAACATCATATACAAATTCCCTATATGAATGATATCATTCTGTATATCTAAAATGTTCCAGGGGCCGGGGATGTAGCTCAGTGGTGCTGTGCCTGGCTGGCAAGTGCAAGGTCCTGAGTTTGATTCCTGGTACAGAGAAAGCAAACAAATAATAAACAAATAAACAAATAAAATGTACCAATAAAATAAAAAATAAATAAAGCATTTACATAAGCATAAAAAAGGGCTTGCAATGTAGTTCAGTGCAAAGGGCCCTGGATTTCATGTATGATTCATACTTGAAAAAATAAGTAAATAAAGAGGAAAAGAAAAAAAATAAACTTTTGCTGGGCACATGTCTGTGATCCCAGCACTCTGGAAGGTTAAGGCAGGAGGGATGTAAATTTGAGCTCAGTCTAGGCAACTTAGGGAGACCCTGTCTGAAAACAGAAAATTTTAGAAAAGTCTGGGGGATATAGCTCAGTGCGTAGGGGCTGAGTTCAATCCCCAGAACCACAAAATAATTATAATAATAAATAGTAACAATAATAAAAATCAAAATTTCCCTAAATAATCCTTTCAGTGAACTAGTCTTACTGATAAGGCTTTTTACTCTTTTCCCCCTGTAGTACTAGGATTTAACCCAGGGGACACTACTTCTGAGCTACATCCCCAGGAGCCCTTTCGATGTTTTATTTTGAGACAGAATCTCATTAAACTGCTCAGGTATAAGTCAAACTTGTGATCCTGTCACAGCCTTCCTCAATGCTGGGATTACAGGTGTGTACCACCACACCTGGCTATTTTTACTTTTCTAAAGAAAAATTCTTCTTTAGCATATCTATTTTACAACATAATGCCTCTTTGACAAAAGCATACTCTAATATCAATCAGACAGAATTATGTGAAGAACTTTATATTTTCAGGACTAAAGTGAAGGAGGAAAACTAAATCTTTTTGATCATAGAAAGCAAGTTTTCTCATTCTTCAACAACAAAGCTTTAAGGCTGAATATTGATGTGAGATCATCTATATGGTACAGTGGACAGCTGCATACACTGAAGAATCCCTCTGATGCACTGAAACACTAAGTAACTGAATTCTTGGAGGCTGCATCTAGAAGACCAACAAAATCAAAATGGCTTAAGGCCACATGCAAAGTCAAAACCTGCCACTACTCAGTGGTCAAGTGACTCCAGTCATCAGTATCAGAGTGGGTACAGCACGCTGTGGAATTCCTAGACACACACATGGACAGCAGCCTCATTCCATGACCATCTTCCCCTGCCCTGACCCTTCATTTGTCATTCACCTAATACTACGTATACATATTTTTCTGATACTACACTTAGACCTTCTCACAACTGTGAATCATTATGAGCTTGTTTCCATATTGTAGGGCTCAAATTATCTTTTTTAGCCAGTTTTCACAGATTTATCTTGAGGATTAGATAGCAGTAACATGTTAATTTTCTGATTTTAACACACATATTAGGTTATGTAGGAGAATGTCCTTGTCTGTGAAGGTGAAAAGGCACTGTTGTGGTTTAGATTTTTTACAAAGTCCCCAGAAAACCTCATGTGGGAAGCATTTGAAAGGTGACTGGCTCATATGGACACAATAGGAATTAGGGAACTGATGAGCTCAGTAGCTGAACGTGCTGTTGGGAGGGTCTGGCTGGAGGTGGGTCACTGGAATACACTGGAAGTGTTCTTTTCCCTGGCTCCTCCCTCCCCTTGTATCCTGGTGGCCATGGAATGAGCAGCTGCCTTCCACCCAGTCCACCATGCCCTTTCTGCCTTGGAGCCAGCCAGCTATGGACTGAATCCTCTAAAAACTGTAAGTCAAAATAAAGCTCTCCTTTTTTATGTTGTAGGTGCTGGGTATTTTGTCCCAGCAACAGTAAAGTGACTAAAATAGACACCATGCAGCAACTTACTCCACAATATTTTAGAATACAAAAGTCAAGTGTGTTATACTTGTATCTTCTCTGAAATTATTTCAAATTTTTATAAAATTAGTTAAAAGTTGAAAAACATTAAAAGAAAGATGTAGTAAATACAGACTTCCTCAAAAGAAAGTAAAGGAATTTAATACATTCTGGTTAAAAGCTGAAGAGACCAGTTTCTAAGCAGTGAAACAGCTCCTAAACTGAAAGTTCTCTATATAATGCCAGATGAAAGATGCATGTGTTAGTTAGTCCAAGAATATCCTGCACAATGAGCTCACGTGTAAGAAAACACTCATTACACATTATTTCTTTGACAAGCCCAGATCCTATTTAACCAAGTCAATCAGAACAAACAGACATAAGCAATCTTCTGGTTTCACCTTGGGATCCAAACTTCCTAGCCTTACTTCACAGACACTTAACAGCAAAAAGGCTGCATGTTTCTGCCCAGTCCTGCCTGCTTAGTTTCTAGAGGGAGGGTAGAGAAGGATAACCTCTGATTGAATATATATGGTTATGATATATAAATAAAGAGATCGTGGAATTACTTCATGGAAAAGGTGGCAAAGTTTTAACATTTTTTTGAAAAGAAAAAACCCTACTGCTCATTTACTAATAAAAAAATTCAAAAGCAACATCATATAATTTACTTTTACTAAGTACTAATAATATGCAAATAATTTTTATTTTCAAACAAACCTCATGTTTTTTGCTGTAGTGGCTGACTAGCTAAACATACTAAGTGCTCAGTGAGTACTTTCTGACTTATTAAATAGATTTTTATGTATATCAGATATGCTCAGGTATTTTTGCAGTACCTAAGTGTCTTTGATGCTCTCAGATGCTCTGCAAAATAGCAGACTGCTGGAGAGAGCAGAGGGAATCAGCACTCACGAAAGCCCTTGCACAAGAACCTGAGTCAGCCATATGTTTGAAAAAGATTAAAAACAGAACTCAAACCTACTTCACTCCTATGCAAAATAGTCACCCCTATTTCTTCCTACTTTAAGCATGACAACCCCCTAAATAAGATTTAACTACCCATAAAACTAAGAACATTAATACAAAAAAGTAAGAGATGCTGGTGTACTGTTACTTCCTCTACGGGATTCAAAGTATTCTGCTTTATTTTATAATTTACAAAAAATATGTGGACATGGCTATAGTACTTTTTTAAAATTAATAAAGAACAGAAATTTAATTTTTACAGTTCTGGAGGTTGGGAAGTCCAAAATCATTATCAACATCTCATGAGGGCCTTTTCACTGTTTCAGTATATTTTTAAGTTTTTCAGAGCAGAATAATTTCTAACAACTTGTTCTGACACAAATTCAAAACATTCAAACAAACTAGAGTCTTTCACAGGTATGGTAAAAGGGAAAAGCACATTTGCCCAGTGAATTCACCTAGGTCTATGCTAAACAAGTGAATTGTTTGTAAGTTCAAGGCCAGCTTGGACTACATTACCAGACCATTTCAAAAAACCAAAGGAAAGGAGGGAGGGAGGAGAAAGGAGGGAAGGGGAGGACAGGGGAAGGGAGGGAAGCGAAGAGGAGATGAGATTTTGGTAATGGCCAGGCCTGATGGCACACACCTGTGATCCTACACTTGGAAGGCTGAGCAGGAGGATCGACATTGAGTTTAAGGCCCGACTGGGCTACATAATGAGTTCAAGGTCAGCTTGAACTACATAGTAAGACCCTGTCTCAAACAAACAAACAAAAACAGGAAAAAGAATGAAAGAAATTAATTAATTTTGTCAATGAACTCTAAGTAAGGCACCTGTCCGTATTTTTCTTTCCACTTTCTAAATTTCATGAACTTCACATCAGAAAGTCATGGACACCTGGTTATAAATAAAAACTGGTATGAGGAGGTAGTCTTGAAGGAAAAATTATAACATCAAAAAAGAGAGGGTACATGTGCAAATACACCCTAAACCAGTTGTTAAGAGTGGTCAAGTCTCCTGAACAAACAGAAATGAGAGCAAGACAGAGTCTACTCCAGGGGGATGACTGAAGAGATACAGATAATGGGGGAAAATAGAGAGCATTCTACGATACAGGCCAGAGGTGTGGGCAGCCAAGTTACAGGAAAGCTGGACACAACTGGTGGATATATGAGAGATGACTTCATGCTGCAAGGATTATTGTGACATGACACCATTTTCAAGGTTTAAGACTTCCTTTTAATGGGTTTACACTGTGAGTGTCCTTTGAGAAAAAGCATCTGTGTACATGGACTCCCTAACCTAACGCAGTAACAACTCTCAAATCTCCAGGAGCCACAGGTCAGGGCAGGGGGTATCTCTATGGAGTAGGAAACAAAAGAATAAAACCCCAGAAAGCAATCACTGTCCTTTCATTTTGGTGCTCTGTTTTCAGTACAGAAAGAACTTCCCAGAAAAACTAGAGAAGATCAAGACTACATTTTAAAATTAGCAAATGGTGAAAGGTTTAGTATATGAAGACAATTCTGAACAAGATCTGGTATGATTTAGACTTTATTTATGTGCTCATAACTAAAGTATGGCACATATATCTTCAAAAGAAAAGAGTTGGTCCCAAAGGACCTGCCCTTTCACCAAAAGCTATTCATTCTCACCAGCATGGTATCAAAGTGTTTATGGGCTTTCTGAAGGCCTAAGTAGAAATCAGCTAATAATTTAAAAGGTATGACTGATCATATGCCAGATCACTCTATACTTACTTTGTTGTGCAATCTTTGTATACATATGTGTATATAAAAATACGGGATTTATTATAAAATATGTACTTTAATCAAATATTTCTAACAGTTAGTTGGGCTGAACAGCTTTCTTTAAACAGGAGCTTGCAGTCATTCCTCTGTGATTTACAAATAGAGCAGTCAAGCTAACT